CCGGTAAACTATGGATTTAGATCCCCTCTTGTCTTACCCCATAATTTTTTACTTCCTGCCTTCATGCCTTGAATATAGCGATCTCGCATCACTCTCGTTGTTCAGTATGCGGGATCGGCATATTTGCACAAATTTTGAAAGTGCTCTGTGTATTCAGCCACAAATTTTGAAGCTTGTGGGCGGCAGAGAGAAGAGGGGATATCTATTTATGGTAGGAAGGGGAATGATTGGTGATATGGTGGAAGCATCGACACCATTGCTAGCTCACCATGCCCCTATTACCAAAGCATTCAAAATCGGGATTTTACCTAAAATCGAAAACAGGGGTAAAATCGGAATCGTAAAATCGTAGGATTTTAAGTTCCATATAGAAACTAAGGTATAATCATATTAATAAGGTAAATCATTACTAACACAAAGGCACATAACATTGAAAAGGATAATTCTCAAGATTAATGTTCCAAGATCATCATTTTAATTGTTATTTAATGCGTAAAACAAATAATTCATGAGGAAATGATAGAGCTCATGGGGCTTGCCTCTTGTTTTTCATGTTGTGTTTAGTTAGTTTAACTCAAAGTAGTACTCCAGTCAGGTTAATTTCAACATTGTCTGCTAATCATGATTTAAAACTAATAATATATGAACTCCAATCAAATAATTAATGCTAGTGGCTTGGTAAAAATATATTCATTAATCAATTAATGAGTTAATGATGATATTAATTCTTCCGCACGTACAATATTAGGAAAACTATTTTACCGATGAGTTCAACATGATGAAGGGAAAGAGAATGACCGAGCCATAATTTGGTTATTTTTTCTTTTCAAATTTTTTTTAATGGGAAAAATATTTGTGAAGATCCCCATCATTGCCCTTTCCGCCAAATCAGTTCTGCTTTTTTTAAAATTTGCTCAAACAAATTATTTTGTTCTCATACGATTTTAATCCCGATTTTAAATGATTTCAAGGTCCACCGATTTATAGTAAAATCAGGATCGGAATCCAAGTAAAATCTTAAAATTCTATGATTTTACAATCAAAATCCCGATTTTGACTGTTTTGCTTATTACTAAATATTCAACTCCTCATGTCTGATGCATGAATCGAATTATTACACATTCTTCAGAAAATAAAAGCTAGGTATGCTTTATGGAAAAACAAGTTTGTGTTACTGTTGCATTATTAGTCATTTTCTTACTACGGCCCAACAGATTTTCCTCGTGTTTGGCAACACTTGCAGACCGCCATGCTTTTATACCCCTAATAATCCCTTCATCTCGAGTCTCACTTTCCCATGGCATCTCTTGTCATTTCATGACTGTGGGATGGTTTCTCGAGCTAACAATTTCTTGCAGCTACCTCCATAGGTGATGCAAGTATTTGACCTAGAAAGGACACCGACAGGTGAGTTCCTCGTGTCAAACAATCAAGCTAAAGAGAAAGAACCATCGAACACACAATGCTTTTAATGTGGTTTCCTTAGTACACTAGTCCACGAAGAGGATCTCCCTCTAAGATTTTAAACTTTCTAATTAATTAGTTTTCTCGTACAGCTTACACCGATATTTATATGGTTTGCTAAGATAAACCCTAAGTACAAATTACATATTAATATTCACCATTCATCACCCTTCCTTAAATTGATTTCGTGTACACAACATCAATATGCATGACAAGTACAAATGACGGCTAGTTTCCAAGGTCTTCGTTAGAACATCCGTGATTTATTCATTTCGTGTATGTCATTGTCAGTAGTTTGCACGTATCAATAACTACCCCATTCTAGGCTAAGTTCAACTTGTAATGGGGTTGTCATATAGTGGCAATCAAGGTCGTATTGACTCGGGTCTCGGTACCCTAGCCTACTTCTCCCACGTTGTTGTTATCTAGCCGATCGGTTTAAGGAGTTGTGCTGGAGGATTCGAGTGAAATAACTAGTAGAGAGAATAAACAAGGATAAAAGAAGGTACATTGAGGAACTAGTCGTCGCCCTAGCCTAGGTTTACCATGCAAATGTGTAAACATGTTGGGTTAAGCAAATATGGTGAGTGAGCTCTTTTCCATAGGCCTTCGTGATTATCCACAAGCCTCCAAATACGTCCTACCTACCCCATTGTCACCTCGGTATAGGTTCACATATCTGGGGCTTTAAGAACTTAGCTCCTTTCAGCGGGTACTACCCACCATCCACACCGGGGTTTCATCATGGGTTCCATCTAGGAAGGCATTCTTGTAGCACGGGTCCCTATTCATTCATCTAACCCTAATATGCTAGATGGCGCATACCCGTCTAACCCTAAAACTCCATACCCAGTGTAGAAGCTCAAGTAGGCTACTAAAGAATTTAGGGCGACTTACCCAAGCATAATTAAAGCTAGAAGAAGCATTAAAATCAAGTAGATAAACACATTCATTCAAAACCCTAACATATTCATTCATTACATAATAGCCCTAAAACTAGGGTTTGGGGTTAAAACCCCTATCACCTTAAGAGACTACTGCATAAAGGAGGGAAGAAGAAACATAGAAGAATTTGGGGAAGGCTTGATGTTGAAAAAGATGCCTTCTCTCCTCTAGCTTCTCCTCCTTCTCCCCATCTCATTCCTTCAACTTCTATCTCTTCTCTCTAACTCTAAACCATAAATTTCTATCTCAAAATAAGCTCTCTTAGAATGGGGGAAGAGGTCCTCTATTTATAGACTTCACGAGGGTGGACAAGTTCACGACCAAGCAGGGGGAGTTCGCGGACTGACTTCATGATCACGATAATGAGTCGCGGCCGGGAACTTCCTCGCGATCAGGGAAGACGGTGATCGTGATTCGACCATCGAAAATTTATGTCTTCTCGTGGGTGGATTCTTCACGAAGTTCACGTCCAAGGGCTCCATTTTCGCGGCCACAAAATATGGTCCCCAGGTCGCGATCTTCTCCCCTAGTAAAACTCAATTTAAGGAATATTCTTTGTATCCAAACCATCTCTAAACTCACCTTTGACATTGATCAATACTCTACTTATGTTGAAGATTTTAAAACCTTATCTTGTTTTATGCAACACCAAGAGATAAATGAGCATCCAATCTGAATACACCACCTAGAAATGGACCTTCTTGTGTCCAAACACCCAACATAATCAACGTTAGCAAAGGCCTTGATAGTCAGCTCCCCTCCATAAGGAAATACAAGTGCCAACTCATTAGTTTGCTTCAAGTACCTCAATATGCGAGGAACTGCGTTGAAATGTCGAGTCCTGGAAATTCCCATGAATTGGCTTATAGCTTGCACTGCATATATATAGGGTCATATATGTGTAAGATAGATCAGGCTACCTACTGCGCTTCGATAGAAAGTTTGATCATCCATGAGTTCTCCGCTCTTCCTACTCAGCTTCAGATTTTGCTCCATAGGCGTCAAACATGGCTTGCAGCCCACAAACTCAGAAGCTGCTAACAAATTTGATATATATTTCTTCTGGCATAACAAGAACCATGGAGAAGAACGTATAACTTCAATCCCTAGGAAGTAAGGGGTCGTTTGGAAGTTGAGATTCTTCAAATATGTGTATTTGATGAATACATCTATTGTAAATACAAAGAGGGTAAGAATTAGATGATTGGAAGAATGTCATGTTTGGTTGTAGCCATTCAAAAATTTTAAAGAAAAAGAAAAAATCACTTTATGAGCTAAAAGTGAAACAAATTAAAGCCAACAATCTCAAAGGAAGAATCTCACCTTTTTGTTGAGATTTAAAATGAGTGATTGTGGGTGATATGAGATTTGAGGGCCCACCTCAAATGCATGTATTGAATAAAGTTTTGGAACAAAAGAACGATGGATTCTCCAGAATACATGAATTCAAAGAATCATTCATCTAGAATTCTAACTTCCAAACAACCCCTAAGAAGCAATTCTCAACTCCTTAAGATTAAACACATCACACAAGGCTATGGTTTGTTCCTGAATACCACCCTGACCGTAGGTCTCAACTCCTTAAGATTAAACACATCACACAAGGCTATAGTGAGTTCCTGAATACCACCTTAATCACTGCCTATCACAATCTTAGTTAGTAAATACTTCGTTTAATACACGTATATGTACCCGTACGTATTTTATCCATTTAAAACTTCTGTATTCGTAGTATTGTCAAATCGTTTCATTTTATCCGTACATTTGGTGGCTCCCGTACTAAAAACGTATAAAACTCATATAACACGTTTAATATCCGTATTAATTGAATGGGTTAATAGCATTTTATATCCCTCTACTATTGCAAGCTAACAAATGTACCCCTCTACTATAATTTTGCACTTTCATACCCTTCATCTATCATAACGTAAAAAATTTACCATTCCGTCAATATTTCCATCCAATAGCAGTCAAAGAGGATAGTAAAAGACTCATGCTCCTCTTACTTTAATAAATTAATTTATAAAATTATTTTTTAATTTAATTTTTTTCTCCATCTGCTACCGAAAAGATAACGATTACTCTGCTAAAGTCGAGTGGACGATCCAACAGCGTAATGCAACAACTGCAAACACACTTCGCACAGTTGTCATTTTAACAACTCGAGAAAAAATATCCTCATAATCAATGACATACTCCTTCCTAAAACCATGTGCAACTAATCGTGCCTTTTAGCAATCTATGGAACCATCGGGATTCATCTTCACAAATCACAATAAATACCCAATGATTCCCAATAACCGTTTAGACCAGGAACAAATGAAACCAAGTCCCACGTTTGATTCTCTTCAAGTGCCCGTGTTTCTGTTTGCATAACAACATTCCAACATGGGTCATCTTTGCAAAACGATAATGAGAAGGAATTCTCACCGGCTCAACAGAGAATCCAACATAGTCATGCAGACGTAGAGGTGGCTGCCTAATATTGTGTCGTGAGGAACGCCTCAGAGCAGATTTGATCGTGATAGTTAAGCACAACTTTGAATATTGTGGTTCAAAAATCCAATGGCCATTCCAAATTGTTGACTTTCAGTCATACCAACGTTCTATTACATTGAACACCCTAGAATGCAATTTATTTCCTCTTTTCTTTTTCGCCCATCAACTGTTTGATGCTCATGTCTGCTTCCTGTTGGCCAATTATTTGTGTGATCTACTAGACCGGTTGTTGATTGGTTTATGTAAGACCAGAATTCTTCTCTTACTACCTTTTTTATTGGTTTATGTGTGATCCAAGAATCCTTCTCTTACTATCTTTTTTTCATTTTCGGTTGTTGCTGCAGTTTTTCTCTCCTGCTGTAATTCTAATTATGCAATTTTGCAAGGTTGTTGCTGCTTATATAAAATAAAAGGACAAACAAAAGAAAGAAGCGAAGGAGAAGAAATCCATGGCAGAATTTGCAGAGTTGATACATACACGAAGTTGCAAAGGAAGAAGAAGCTCTTAAATTTCCAAGTCTTCTTCATGCTCAATGCTGGTGTATATACAAGGAGAGGAATATGAGGCTCTTTGAGGGAAAGTATTCAACAAGTGACATGTCCTACTGGATTTGCAGTTCCATTGCAAGGTGGGTAATGGCAACAAGTAAAGTAGACAGAATGACATCCCACAAAATTTCTCGGCCTGCGAAATTGTAGCAGAAAACTCACACGAAAATTTCTAATATAGATGACCTCGCCACGTACTTTCATATTGAATTGTGAAACGGCTTCATTTATGAATTGAACTTATAAACTTACAGATTTTGACATTATGTTTGTGCTCGAAACTTGTCACCATGTCTCTGACATCTGTAGGCATGAATCGTAGGAATAAATAAGTCAACAACATTTTGTGGGAAACTAAAAAGTAAAAATGCCGTCTACAACAAGAAACAATAGTAACTTTTCCCCCTTTCACTTTACTGTTTTCTTTAATGAACTAGAAATAAAATACATAATCTGGTTGAAGGAACCCAACCCCACATATACTACTACAGACCAGTAACATTCATAATTGACTTGCACAATCTTAATTAGCACTCTAACTATCCATGGCGTTCTAGGTACACTGCATCTTGTTCCACAATCCACGTTCATGCAGATTGCAGAGCATTCTCCATACAAGGTTCCCCATCCTGCAACTCCCTGCCGAACATCATCACTCATCCCTGGAATTGACAAAGCAAAGCAAAGCAACTAATTAAATAGTGAAGTCGATAATACACTGCGCCAAACCGAAATGGAATCCCGAGAGGTCTTTCTATTCAGTCTCTTTGCGTACCTGAGATTAAGATTTGTCAACTGCAGGCTTGAATGGGCCTGGGCGTAGTTGGAGAGAAAACTGGGGAGGAATGCCTCATACGAGGCTCATACTTGGGTACAGGCGATACCGTTTCAAAAGCTTCAACAAGTAGCGCAACTTTCCTCTTCCTTGTAGCTGAAGCAAGCTTGGTGACAGCTTCCTGGAGTGCATGATCGATCATCCATTCCTTGGAATTCTTCCTTTCATCCACCGTCTGATGATTCAAATCAACTCTCTCTGCATTCGGGTCGGGAACTAGTGGAAGGAAGGTAGGTTCTCTTGGATTGAACTCCCTCTCGGTTTCCTCTGTCTGGTCCATGGCTCTCCTGCATCCAATCTTCCATTTCAAGTAGCTGCAGGGATCTTCAAGCTCTTGTTTGGAGTTGTTCCTTGCCCATCCAGACATCCCACCATTATCTCCACATGTTCCTTCATTTGTTGCTGCAGCAAGTGCCTCAGCTTTAGTTGGTTTGTTGCAATCTTCGCGTTGGGTGTTGCAGCATTCTTCCACTTCATGCCCGATTGATCTCAACTCGCTCGTGTCCAAACCCTCATGTGCGTCGATGTTTTTTAGGATTCTAGTCTTGGGGCAATCTTGATCACCTTCAGAACAACCTGTTGATGAATCGGGAACTCCAAGTCCATTGTTTACGGACTTCTCTGGTTCCCCATTAGGGAGCTGCTGCAGTTCATCATCCAAACATTGCGCCACTGTCTCAGTAAGGCAATCATTTTCAGCCTGTTGAGGTTTCAGATTGGCTTCCACTGCATCATTCTCCGACCCGCCAATGAAATCCATCTGAATTGGCCCTACCATGAAATCTCTGTCGCCTTTTTCTTCTAGAGGCGCCTCAGAACCCCCATCTTCACTAGTTTCTTCCTCGAACAGCTCCCGAAGCAACTCCTCGGCAAGAACCTCTTCAGTGCAGCAGCTAGAGATGTCATCTAATTCAACTATCTCAGGCTTCTTCATCACAGAAAACAGAGCACCACCTTTGGAACATAAATTGCCTTCATCATCGACTCGAGAAGCAGAATCAGGGCCTTGCTCCCACTCCATTTCCGTCGCTTCAGAACTCTTATCATCTTCCTCCATACTTGCATTTCTCTCCATCTGTTCTTCTTCTCCATAACTGGCGCCGCCAAATTGTTCCTCTGGGTCAGGAATTTCATCGATCAGGTTGTGCTCATCAACCAGCCTTGTGTCTTCCTGCGATAAATCAACCTTTATATCCTCCTTTTCTGAATAGATTTCAATGAACAAGTCCGCTTCGTCCTGAGAACTATCTGAAGATCCCACGGGTTTCATCGGAAACAGAGATCCCAACTTGACACTTGTCTGCGCCTTCAACGAGCGCCGTTTGGCCTTCAAGAAGCAGTTGAGCGGAGGGCGATGATGGCCGTTAAGGGAACAGTAAGTGTAGGGACAAACCTTGAGAGCCGAAGTCCCTTCAGCTTCACTACCTCCATCGTCAAGCACAAGGTAAGGGGGGAACTTAGAGTCCTTCATCGTCGAAGAACAAGTCGATTTCCTCACAGTTTTAAAGCTCGGAGCTTTGGTAAGAGCTCTCACGCTCGTCTTCTTCTTCGAGCTCCAAGTCCTCGTCGATTTCCTCGCCGGGTAAGGCTTGCAATCGGTACACATCTTATTGTCCAGATTCAGAGACTTACTCACCGGCGATCGCTCCTTCTCCTTCCTGGCCTCTGAGCTCGTCGTCGACTTCATGTAGTTCGGCAACGACTTCTGTGGGGTCGCCGGAGCAGAAGACGGCGACTTTCCGAGGAGAGGAGACATGGGTTGCCTCTGGATTTCTGAAATCTCGTGCAAATCTGAGCACTTTTTCACCCAACCAGAGCGTTTCAATTTTTTGCCATCGTGATGTCCGCAAGTTGATTTCTTCTTCTTCTTCTTCTTCTTCAGGCTTTCAGACAACTTATCAGGTATTCAGGTTGGATTGGAAGGATTCCAGGCTTCCTGCGGATAACCTTTCTCTGAACCATTCCAGGAAAATTGACTTCACATATAGGAAGTAGCGTTTCTTTGGATACAAACACCGTAGAAGAAGGAAAGCAGAATTCTATTTGTTGTCTTCTTCTTTTTGGCTAGTGGTTTTGGGATTGATTTAATGGGGGAATACGATTACGATGGGAATAGAACAAAGTAGGTTCTTTGCAATAATGTCCTACCACAAATGCCACCGTGCTTATAGCATCTTTTCTCAAAATCCTCCAGAAAAGAAATTCCCACATTACAATACTTGCACTTAAATTTTTCTAATTATTAGAGTTTGAAGTGGTTGGCTTGATTCTGAAGTGACCCCGGTTGTGGTTCGCGTTGGACAGAAGCGATTTATGTTGTCCGCTGGAAAGACAAACGAATAAAAATCGATTCGCCGAAAATTAAAGCTATCCATTTAGTTCGAGATGGAGAAACGCAATTGGTGCAAGCCGAATGACGCGGATCGCTATGGGCTGATGTAATGTACGACACTGATCGCTAATCTGCCCATTTCTAGCAACACGAACCGTGGTTGAGAAGGGCGGACATCTATTGATCTCTCCACTCCGCCGCAAACTGCTTACCTGCCCAAAAAACTACAAATACTCCCCTCACATCATCACTCACACCAAACCACTCTTCTCTAGGGCATTGGCCGGACAACAAAAAAATAAGATAAACAACAATGAAAGGAATCAGTCTTCTCCCTCTCTTTCTTTCATCGTTGAAAGAAAATTATAATATTCTTTGTGGTTGCAGTTAAGTTCGGCCTGCTATACTAGAGAAGTTTTCTTTGAGTTTATTACCTGACCTCCTCAAAACTCCCAACAAACCTTTGTCCAACCTCTGTAAGAAATGAAAGAAGAATTTCTAAGGGTATCATATTGTTTTTCCTATTATAATCTTTATTATCTAGTATATTTGTACCATAATTTTTATATTATGATTTATCGATGAGGATAATGTGCGAGAAACTATAAGATCAATAATGTTTCAGTAGTTTAACTATCAGTGAAGTTGAAGCTTATCATGTGTGTGTATTCAGACTCTTTATTTGCCACTAGTTATAAGTAATTTTTTATTTATTAAATAAGTCTAGTTCGTACTTGATGGAAGTTGAGATGTACGATGTTGAATATATATTCATTTTGGTTCTAGGGACACTCATTTGTGGGATACCTAATCCTCGTTCTAAAAATAGGTGGATGACCCAGTAAACACTCGATCTTATAACTTGTGTTTTTATCAAAACATGATAGTATTTTTTTTAATTATTCAAAAACTAATTTTCATTATTTTGTGTTTGAGATAAGAACATGACTAGCAATCTAATTATTGGCATCCCAATGACGAGGCAAATGGTGCCAAGACGAGTACATGTTTTTGTATCGCAAGTTTACCAAAAGATGGATAACCAAACATAGCGCAGTGATCGGTTCGTTAGTAAGCTTGCATCTAAATTTTGCCTATTTTACATTGGTCAAGATAGAGATGCTAGCGAGTCATGTTAACTACGAGTCATGTGACTAAATGCCCAGGTTTGTTCAATGATAAATCTAGTTCGGTTGTCTACCTAGCTACAACATATATTGATGATATGTCTGACACAAACAACACCAACTGTTCGTCGCTCCAGAGTCAACCCAATCGCTTCAAAATCTAGTATTTTGAAAAATATTAGTGTAAATATGATAACGTGAGATTTATTTTTAGCAAGTGAGCATTTGGGGGAAAAATACATGCTTATATCATATGAGGGGGAAAATAAAAAAGTAAACCAACCACGATGCTTAGGGTTATCCTCTTTGGTTTGGCCTTTTCTATTTGTTTCAGCTTTTCTTCGATTAATTTTTTTATTTGGTGGGTCTCTTGTTTCTTTTGTGGATTGTGGGTTGGGGTGGGTTGGGGCATGACAATTTTGAATAAGGCTGAATTTAGGAGATGAGTGGGGGAGGGGAAGAGGCTCCTCCATTGACATTATTAATTGAGTGGTGGAGTATGGTGGGTTCGCTTGTTTTAGAGGATTCCTTTTTCGGTTACGGACCGACTGTTGAGACAGAATTTTCTATTAGTGCAAGCTACCTGCTTTCATACTACACTTGTTTCTATCTGGATTATAAATTCTCATCAATATTTCACCACAAGACATGTGTAATTATGATAAGGTGCCTTCCTCCAATTTTGTTTTGTCATCTAAACGACTGGCAGTATTTGCTAGTTGAATGACTAAGTTACCCATTTGCAGCAACAAAATTGGGTTATGAATCTCCAATCGATATTTTATCAATGAATCAAGATGAAAACTACATGGGCGTGCCAGATGTTGTAAGGCATGAACATATATATGCCAATGCGTAAAATTAAAATGATGCACTTTCGTTTGCACCAACATCTTTCAATGGTTAAGATAATAAGGGCAAAATAGAACAATTATAAGAGAAAATGTAACACACAATAAAAAAGAGGGAACAAGTACTTTTTATTCACCATCAATTAATATTATATAAATTTAAATACGATTACTGTTCCCTAAAAGTGTCTCTAATCTACACTATTGTAACCGTTTCTTAGCTAAACCGCATGCCTTTTCACCATGTGGATACTGGGTGGTTTTGAAGGCAAGTTAATTTATAAAATAACGAGTAATGATCAAATGATGAAACTAAACTAAATTAATTTTAACATTAATTATGCATATATTTATTTTCAAAATGATTTTAATCTAATTTATTTTTAACTATTAACGTACAATTAGACGTACTATCAGTTTAAAAATAAAGAAAAAAATACCCATTCATATTTTATAGATAGCATACTCATGTTGTATTTACTAACTAGGCCAACAATCAAATACCAAATAATTTACTCGTTATTTTATCCCGATGTCATCTTTGATTGGTTTAATAGCTTATCCATAAGAAATTTATGTTAGTTTGATTTTAGTTTTGTGTGTTACACTTATGAGCTTCGCACAAACCCAATAGAGCAACTCACTCACATGAAATCACAGAACTTCATCATTTCATCATTAATTTGTAACCTCTAGTGACATTTCATCTTAACTTGTTATTATGAAGCAATTAGATGTACAAGTTTGGATGTATACGACACACCCAATTATTATTAGATAGATAGAAAATATTAAGCCCCTAACCAGACATGTCAACTACCGGGAGCGGTTACGATGATTACTACTTAATCACCGTGGTTACTAAGGGTAAATTGGGTATGAAAAAATAAATTATATTAATTAATTTTTTAATAAATTACATTTTAGGTAGTTACAAAAATTTATTAATTATAATTCTCTCTCTTTCTCTACTTCCGTAATCTACAACCATATTCCTTTTCATATTTTTCTCAATATTTATGCAAAAAAAAAAAAACGAATTCACTACCAATCCATTAGACAACCACTACGACTTTGAAAAACATCAATACCATTGCATAAATAAATCTATACCATTACACGAAAACTACCAATATAAACAATCTATACCATTGCATATATGAAGAGAATTATGAACATTGAGGTTTGAACCAATACCATTAGAATTTCAAGAACTACCAGACTAGCATTGCTAATACTAATACACGTGTAATGAACCAATACCAATCTAAAGTGTCACTCCCAAACGAAGATGAATAAATATCATGCTGTTATATAACCAATATCACTGCACATCGAATCAATACCATTGCAGGACTACCATTACACAACGGATAAAACAATACCAAATAGTAGTGCACTACCAAAAGAAAAGGCGATTTTCCTTAACGGATGTCATTACAAATACCATTGCTTAGTAAAGCAATACCATTATTCAAATAAAAAATTTGCAGCAAGTGGAGGAATACGATTACAATTTACAAACCAATAACAAATACTAATTAAAAATCCCATTCGTATAATGAAAAAGGGAAAATAAAAAATCAAATGATATATAAAGAGGTTGTCACCGTGATTATTAAAAAACAAGTAACCACCCTAACCTATTCCGTCAACTACCAAGTCATCAAATTTTATAGTACTCACATTTATCTATTTTTTGTTAGCCATACATATTTTTAATGATCGGGAAAAGATAAGTATTATCATATGGCCGGGCGAAGTTGCAATTCCATGATAATAATGATCTCATAAAAATAAGAGAACTTTAGTTGCTCAAGCTGAGCATTATAGCTTTATAAGAGAGAGATTTGCTACGTGCATATGAAATAAATTAAAATTAAGCATTTAACTGCTTCTGGGCTCAGGGGGAGACATGAAAATTAGGAGTTCTTTTCATGTTATGGACTGGGGCACTGGGCGGTGGGAAAAGATAATTACGTTTGGGGTCGTGGCTGGCTATGGGCGGTCGTGGCCGGTGGAACTGGGGCCCATTGAAAAGGGCTTTCTTCCCCTTTTTAGGCTCCGGGGTTCTGTGGCCGGGTCGGGTCAAGTAAAAACGGCGGCAGACGCTCCTCCCCACCCCGACCCCGAGTGCGATTGCACGTCCAAAGGCAAAAAGGATAGAAAGCATACATACGTGTACGATTGATCCCCATCTTCTTTCTCTTATTGAATATTCGAACCCCATCTTAGCCGCTCCTTTTGAGGTTTAATTTTAAACTTTTAAGGCAATTGTGCCTTGCCTGCAGCCCTGCCTTGTACGATGGGATACTTCTGTCTTTGACTCTTGGGTTAATACCTTGATATGGTCTGAACTATGACCATGTAATTAACTTTGGCCAGTGGTTTGAGAAATTAACATCCTGGCCCGAACTATGCAGCATATAGACAAAATTGGCCTGGAGCGTGGTTTGACCGTTTGTTTGGACGGTCAACACCATTAACCGTTAGTCAACTGTCCAGGTCACTGCCATGTCAGCATAAAAAAATTATAATTTCATTTTTCTTTTTATTTCATTTACAAAATTGAATAATTATAAAAAAAAACAAAAACAAATACTTTTTGCCCACCCATCCCCACCTTATCCCCTCACCTTCTTTCCTTTTCGATCAAACCCAAACAAACCCTATCTTCCATCTTCTTCCTCCTTCTTCCCCGACGAGCCGCCACCTCCATTCTCTCCGACTTCAAATGCAGCGGAGAGCCGCCGCCTGCAT